GGGAGCAGAATGTCTGAGCTACTCCCTGGAGCACAGAGAGGGCCAGGAACTGCCTTAAAGTAACACAAGTGGTGAATAATGGAGCCAGAAGTTGAACCTGGCGGGTGGCTCATCTCAGAGGAGAGAGGTTTTTTCTGGTAAAATTCCTGGGCACCCTGGACTCTAGGATTCAAGGAGATCAAATCTGGAGACTGAGCCCAGAGACTCAAGGTCATTACCCAAGGTCACATTACCCAGGGACCTTGTGGTTGGACAAAAACCACAGGTCCACAAGAGGTAATGGCCCCAAGACAGTGGGGTGTGTTGTTTATGGGGAGCCCAGTCCCACACCTCCACACACCCACACGTCCAGCCTGGTACCTTGGCTCCGAGGCGCAGCTGGTCGATGGTGTTCTCCGCCTCAGCATATTTGGTCAGGAGCTTGTGGTAGTCCTCCTGTACAGAGGGAGAGCGACATGGTCACCAGGCTGGCTCACGCTGGGGGAGCCCTGGCAGGGAGTCCAGCCCCCGAAGGGGGCTTCTGGGCACCTCAGAACAAGAGAGCTAAAGGAAGCAGGCCCCTCCAAGATCACACGCTGTGCAGACCCCATGGCCAAATTCTGGGGTGTCAGGACAACTGTTCTACCACCTCCTGCCATCCAGGGCCCCTGGGTCAGCGGACCTGTGGTGCCAAACCACCACTATTCTCTGGGGCCCTCCCACCTCTCAGCATCTCACTCACTGCTGTATTCCCAGCACACCAGTGCTCTATACACATTTTTTAACAGCAGCTAGAATGAACAAACCTAAGGGTCCCTTGGTAGAAAAATAGAAGGCTTGAAAATCACAGATGTCGTGGGTAAAATTCCTGCTCGCTTAAGACAAACTGAATAGCTTCATAAAAACAAGTCGCTGTAGGGGACAAGTGAAAAGAAATGTCATTGGTCACCTTTGAAGGATGCTAGAGAGCGGAGACATTGTCCTGAGAAGTGGTCGTGAAGACAGAAGCAAGTATTTCTCCATTCTCACCCACTTGAACCAGAATTTGGTAATCAAGTAGGTGACAAGGAGCGTTTTCCTTTATAGAAGAGTTTCAGCAAGTGAATGTGGGAGAAATGAGAGCAGTAAGATACGGGCCCTTTGTTACTGCCAGTGAAGGGCTGGCTGGGGGGAGATGGCCACCCGTGACCCCCAACATCGCCAGTGGGAGGCCAGGGGCAGTCGGGCCCCCTGAAGGAGCCACCAGTCATGTGCCCTTGCCTGCTGTCCAGCCCACCATGAGCTCATCTGCGGGCAGATAAGCAGGTGTTACAGGCCAAAGCAGCCTCTCGCTCTTAACCTGCCCCACACAGGACAGGAAGGAGCAAACCTTGAAGAGATGCCAGAGGCTTAGAGGCTCAGACAGCAGCAGCGTTCAAAATGTGGAACACTCGGCAGCACTGAGCTGGTTTCCTCCACAAATAAATGAAGGACAAGGATGAAAGAGAGTTGAAAAAGAGTTGAAAAAGAAAAAAAAAAAAAAAGGGAGAAACTTGAAAGGCACATGGACTGAATACATGTTAGGAGCTGTGCCTGGATCCTGCTTCAAACACTGAAACAAACAGGCCATTTATAACACGCAGTGGAGATCTGAACAGGGACCGGAGAGTCACTAAAACTAAAGCGCTTTCCTCCGCTCCTAGGGACGATGAGGTTATTGTGGTTTCGTGAAGACAGACACCTTATCATTCCTCCAACACTAGAATATTTTGGGGTGAGTGATTTAAGTGCCTGAAGTTTGATTCAAATACTCCAGCAGGATGAGTGGGGAAAGGGTGAAGCCACAGATAAAAAGGGGCTGGGTAGTGGGTATGGGTGGGGGAAATCAGACGGTGGGTGTGGATTTTTCTGCAGAAAGAGTTAAACAGGCTTCTATTATCCAGCTGGAGGGCAAGCACTGTCTCTTTGAGCAAAGGGCTTGGGATTAGCCTAACCACTGGGTGTAATACCCACCCTTCACCAGCAGGGGGAGCCTGCTTCAGCTCTAGAACTCCCCAACAACAGAGGCCTCCCAACCTAAACCAACAGGTGCCTTGATAGGCTGCCTATAGCAATAAGCCACATTTACCTGGAGCTGAAGAACCAGCTTGGTGGCTTGTTCAGGCGTCTGGAATTCCTGAGGTACCTTGGTGACAGGGTGGGCAGGAGGTGGGTCTTTTCCCAGGCAGGCCTCCCCACTGCTCAAGAGTACCTCCCGTACAATCTCAGCAGGCGATTTGAAGATGAGTGGTTTGGTGGATCCCTGAGACCTGCTGTGGCCTCTGGCCTTGGGGGGTCGGTAGCTCTCATCTTTGGGGAACCTCACCCGGGGTCCCACCTTGGATAAATCAGGGAGCGGGTGGTTCAGCCGCCCCCGGCCATACTTGGGGACATCAGAAGCTGAGTGGCTGGCCAGCGTGGTTCCCTGCCTGGGTGGCAGCCTGCCCTGGTGAGCTTGTCTGGGTAGAGGATGATTCTGGGGGCTGATGGAGCCGGTGAATCTGGAAGGGAGAGGCTTAGGTGATGACCGTGTCCTCTTCCAGGCTTGGTCCCCAGGCTGAGGGCAGGAGAGGCTGGTAGTTTCTCTCCTCCATCTATCTGCAGGACTCTGGGGTCTCTGGGCTGAGGATGCTGAAGAGTCCTGGAATTCCATGGCAGTTGCCAGAGTAACACTTCCTCCATTTCTGTCATCTGGGCTTACGAGGTGGTGGCTGGGACTCGGTGGTAAAGTTTCTGTCAAAGCAGCAGGCTGGGGGACATCAGTGTCTTCTTCCCAGGTAGAACCAAGGCTGTCGCATGGGTTGTCCAAGCTCACAGTTCCACTGCTCCAGGACCTTGCAAAACTGAGGTCAGCAGTTGGGTTGACCTCAGAATGTTCTGGAAGGTCGTCTCCATTGGCTTGTTTGTCAGAGTCCACCTGGTCTGTGGTTTGACCCCACTCTGGGGTCCTGGGGTTGCTGTTTTCACTGTCCCCCGAGTCAAGACAAGTCTCATACCCCAACCTGGGGGGGCTATCTCCAGCTTCCTCAGCCTCAGTATCCCCGAGGGGCTCAACTGGCTCCTCTTTCGTCATGTCTGGTTGAGGGTTCTGCTGTGAGAGCCAGTGGGGAGGCAAGCTGGAACTTTCTGGGCTGTCCACATCCTCTGCTTCGAACTCTGGGAAGATAGATTGTAGTTTAGCAGAAACCAGGCCTGGGCTTACTCTGCAACACTACCCAAGTCATTGCACCCTCTGAGATTTCATTCCCTCATCATGTAGAGAGAACAGGGATCCCAGTGACCACCCTCACTTGGCCAACACCTTCTAGTTGTTGTCAAAGGTTTCTTTTATTTTTAAGATTTTATTTTATTTACCTGGGCCAGAGGTATCGGGGGATGAGATGACTCACCAGAGATAGTGAGGAGCAGAACAAGCAGATCTACTGAAATACACTGCTGAGAGGAGCAGCAAGTTGATACAGGAGAGGTCTGCAGTGCCATGTGGGCCACCTCCCTGGCCGGGAATTGATCTCATGCCACAGTGGCTGGCTATGGCTTACTAGTGCTGAGACTTGAACTTCTGTGCCACCAGAGAGGCTCTGTTTTCAAAGGTTTTTAAAATTCAAACCTCAAACCCAGTTGTTCTGGTGTTTCTTGTCTCTACAAATAGCAATTCTGTCCCATCTGGTCTCATAAACCAAAACCCTGGGATGCATCCTTGCCCCTCTCTCCCTGAACCCCACGATTCAATCTGTCATGATTACCTCCTGTAAGAGGTCTCAAACTCACCTGCTCCGCTAAAGTCCAGCATCACCCCCTTTACCCAGGCCCACATCCTGTTTGGATTAGTGCAAGAGCCACTTCATCATGGACTTAGTGCTCACCCTCATCTGAAAATTCATCAGCATCTCCCTGTTACCTCCAAGACAGTGGGGAACTGGTTTAGTCTGAAGGTTATCCCTATTTCCGTCCCTATTAACTCTCCTGATTCATCTCTCCCCCTCAGTCCCTTTCATCTACATTTTCTCCAAACACAGGACCTTTCCACACACCGATCCTCTGCCTAGGTCCTGCCTCCCTCACTTTGCACCAGCTAGACCGTGACTTCATCCTATTCGTCCTTCAGGCACCAGCTAGACCGTGACTTCATCAAGGAAGTCTTCTCAGAGCTCCCTAACTGAGACAACTTCTCCCTTTTATAAGCTCTCCTAAGGTTGGATACCTTGACTTTAATACTCATCACAGCTACAGTTCTCCACTTATGTGTGTTGCATTTGTATTTTTCTCCCCTACTGTGTTGCAAAATCCATGAGGCCAGGACACCCCCTGCTCTTGTTTACTGTTGTATTTGCAAAGTGGGTGCTCAATAATATTCTTGACTGAATGGGGAAAAAACAAAAGAAGGGAGGAAGGGAAGACAAGGTTTGCAACGTTCCTAGGAAATGAATAGTTGCTGTAAATCAGTGTTACATAGTCAGTGTTCCAGAAATATCCGTCCACTTGTGCCTCCATTCCCTATCTATCCATCAAAACACTCATCTATCCATCATCTGCTCACCCCTTGATCAAACTATCTCCTCAATCATCCTTATATTCACCCATCTACCCATTATCCATCCATCCACCCATCCATCCATCTTCCATTCACCCACCTAGCACCCACTCATCCAACTAGCCATCTACCTGTGCGCCCCTCCTCACCTGTCCACCACCCACTTACCCATCTAGCCCTCCACTCATTCATCCATGCATATCTGTCCACCTAGCTAAACACCTGCTTACCTGTCCATCACTTACCCATCATCCACTCACTCTCCCATCTATTACTCATTCACTGCTTCACCCACCCATCCATGTGATCATTGTTTATGGAGCACCTACTCTGTCCTAGACTTTGTTTCAGGGTAGATCCAAAGTTTGATGAGACACAGTTTGGACACTGCCAAGCATGGACTCTCCTCTGGCCAGATGCATCTTCATCATAACCCTTACATCACTATCTGCTCCCCCTGCTTCCCCCTCCCTTAGCACCTCTACTTCTAAGGTCACTCAGTGGCTCAGAGGAGTTTGGATCTAGAGCCCAGGTCCCAGCCATGCAGGGAATCTGTCCTTGCTACTGGGATCAGGCTACCGGGTGGGGGGGTGGAGATGAGAGTGGGCTTTGAAGCTGAGGACCCCAGCTCCCCCATGGGCAGGCAGCTGCCCCTCTGGCTGTGCTTACTCACACTGGAGGCTGGTCTCTCCTAACAGGCAGAGGGTGGAAAGGAGACCCAGCAGCTCCCTGTCCAGCCTGAGCCGGGTACCCAGTAAGGGCTCAGGAGATGGTAGCAGCTGTTGCATCACAGGCGGGGTTACCCTGTGACCTCAGGCAGTGATGCTCTGCCCTTTCATCCCAGCCACCACTCCCTGGAGAGCTCAGGAATGACTCCTGAAAGGGTGGCTGTGGGCGAGCCTTGCTTCAAGCGGATCTGGCCTGGGGACCTCAGGGTAATGGTATGGGTCTGCTGAATGGTTTCCTGGGTCACAGAAGCCAAAAACAGTCGCATTTCACTCCTGTCTTCTCAATGCAATTATCACTCCCATGTCACAGAGGGGGAAGCCAAGGTTCAGAGTGAGGGACCGGCCAAGCCACGTAAGGAATTTCGTCTAAGCTGGTCTGAGTGCAAAGAGAGCAAGTTACTGTAGAAAACCAGGGTTGCCAACAATTCCTCTGCCAACCGGGATTAAGAGGACATGCGCACCACCACTGAAATTACCAAAGTCAAGTGTGCAGGGGCATACCCATGGCATTCGGCTCTGTATCTCTGATAACAGCAAAAACCAGAAGTTACCTAAATGCCCCACAGAAAGAGACGAGTCCACCAAATTACAGAACACCGGCACCATGGAATTCTGTGCAGGCACCAGGAGTGACCTGAAGACTCTTGACAAGCTGGGGAAATGTTAGTGCCTATTCAGTTACATTATTCTTGTGTCTACAAAGTTATGAAAAAAGGTTACAATACTGTGTGCATAACCCATATTTGTTACATTTGTGCTAGTAAGGGGGTGCAGTTCTCCAGAAAATAAGTCTTTAATTTTTCCTCTTTTTCTTAAACTTTCTGTCATGCACAGTACTATGTAGTTTAAATCTTTGAACATTTTATGGACTTTATAGCTTTGAATTGAAAAGACTTCCCAAATTCTCTCCTGCCTTCCTCCTCCCACCAGGAGCCAGGGTGCTGGGGGCTGGGGTAGTCTCACCCTCTTCTGCAGACTCGGACTCAGAGTCCTGGTGCCCCTCAGGCTGCGGGTCCCGGTCCCACTGCAGTGGCTGCAGGCGTTGCTGGGCCCGGCGAAAGTCCTCCAGGAGCTCGGGGCTGCTGGCGCGAGCAAAGGGCCTCTCTCCCCCCCAGCTGCTTGTGCCATGACCACTGGCATCCTTGTCCTCTTCCACCCAGGCCCAGCGCCGCCGGGGCACCTTCCCCAGGCCTGGCTCGGCCCAGCAGACCTCCGTCTCCGAGCTGGCCATCGGGCCTGGTCTGCACGTCACCTGGGCCACTTCATCTTCAGGAGACACTCTGGCCACCGTGAGCACCCGTCACCGCTGCTTCCTGTCAGCTCCCGCCATCCTGCCTGTCGCCTATGAGGGACACAAGGGACAATATGAACCTCCATGGCCCTCCATTTTCCAGAACAAGAAGTCACCAGCAGAATCCATGGAACCAGGCAACGTCGGTCCAGGTGCTGGTTCCACTCAGTTGAACTTGTGTGACTTTGGGCAAGTCACTGTCTTTATTATCTTCAGTCAAAAAGAGAATTGCTCTCTCTCCAGAGTTTTGGAAAACGAGGGAAGGAAGGAGACCAGAAGCTGGCACGGGTATGAGAGGCAGCTAGTGTCGGCCTACTCTGCCCACCAGGCTCTGCCCGTGGGCGGGGGCCACCGGCCCTGTTCCTGTGAGAACAGAGAGCCCGAGCAGAAGCTAACACCAGCACTTGCAAACTGAGGTGAGAAGCAATGAGAAGGCACCGGCCTGAGGGGCCTCGGAGGTGAGTGAAGGTCCCCTTTAGAAGCCGTGTCTTCTGGGACCCTTCCCTGGTCACCCTCTTGTAAGAATTCAGCTTGGGAGTGGGGGAGAGGGTGCCAGGAGCTTTCCAGTATCCAGAAGAACTGGAAACAGGGGCTCAAACAAACACACGTCCACACTTGGTCATAGCTGCACACACAACAGCCAGAAGTGAAAACGACCCAAAGAGCCACCAGCGGCTGACTGGACAAGGACTTTGTGGTTGGTGCCCACAATGGAGTCATTTTCAGCTGACAAAAAGGAATGAAGGGCTGGCACATGATACAGCAGGGGGACCCTCACACGAATGGAAGACCCCAAAGTCACAAACAGCATGACCCATTTATATGAAATGGGTCATATAAATGAGAAAGCAGATGGGTGGGCGGGGGCGGGGGGGGAGCAGGGGTGGGGAGAGACCGCTGAATGGGCGCAGGTTTCCTTTTGGGGTGATACAAGTGTGTTGGAACAAGACAGAACCGGTCGCTGCACGGCACTGTAAATATTCTAAATACTGTTGAATTGTTCGCTTGAAATGCATTTTTTAAAAAATGAAGAAAAATACCACAGGCAGGAACAGGGAGGGCCTGGTGAGAGGGGCGGGCGGAGGTGGGGTGGCCTCCTGATGGCTGTGGTATGGGGAGAGGGGCTGGGAGCTTTCACAGCAGAGTACGGGTAAGGAGGGATGGTGGACCCAGGAGGGCCCTCGGGTCCTGTTCAGACATTAAAGCACATCCCAGCCCCTGGAGCTCAGAAATGTGGTTGGAAGCTCTCAGCTGCTCAGGGCATGTGGGCCAGAGTGGCCCTGCCCCAGCTCAGCGGGACCTGTGGTGGGGGGGACACGCTGGGAAAAGGGTCCTCCCTGTCTGCCTTCTAGCTGCCTCCTTTCCCACCCTTCTGCAATCCCAGCACCCCCAAGTGCCTCCTCAGTCTCCACCAAGCAGATGGAACCACAGCACCGTCCTGTCCAAGGGGCCTCCAGGAGCTCAAAGACCTTGCTCTATAGGTAGGAAAACTTAGGTCCAGGGAGGGACAGGGCCTTGGCCAAAGCCCCACAGAAGTCAAGCCCAGGCTGAAGTGAAAGGTCACCTTGCAGTCCAGCCCAGGCTCTTCCCCCCTCACTGTGGAGATCAGGGAGCAGAACTCCAGGCCTCCAGGGACAGACATGTCTGTGTTTGTGCCTGCAACCTCGTGAGCACTTGGGGCTCGGTCAGAGCCTCGATTTGCATGGTTGAGAAAAGTCAGCAGGGAGCTATTTCTGGACAGAAAGTTCCCCAGGGAACGGCGTGGTCCAGGAAAGGCAGACTTCTCAAAGGCTGACTTCTCAAAAGACAGGGAGTAACATTCTCCCTGCTCTGGCTGCAAGCCTGCTCCTCAGCTGGGGCTGAAGGACCTCCATTTTCTCCCCCCATCCATCTTCCTCGCTGTCCCCAGAATTCTTTTTCACTCGCTCTGAGCTGCACCGCAATTCCCAGCAGCTCCTAGGAAGGATGCATAGGAAAACTATTTTTCTGGTTAGAAAACTGAAGCTCAGCATGGAAAAATGACTTGGTCAAGACCAGCCCACTGGTGAGAGACAGTAGGTTTAGAGCTGTCAGTTTGGCCTACTAGCCTCCAATTTTTTATTACTTGTCTCACCAGAAAAATACATGTGCACATCCAGCCAGCACCTGTATTTCTTATGTTTATATACACTCATCTTCACACGAATCCGTGATATGTATTAGGAAAAATGAATTTTTTTAAGGTGCAATAAAAAGTAAAGAAGGAAGCTCTGACCCTTCTCTCCATACCCTTTGGGGGTTGTATTTCTCTTAAAAATCCCTACTGGTGGGTCTTAACCTGGAGAGCTTCTGGGAACCCTCTAAGAATGCAGATTCCCAGGCTGACCCAAGAGCCAGACTCCAGTGGCTCTGGGACAGGGCCCAGTAGCCTGCATTTTAAACCAGCACTTTGATATTGACTAGACCTTCTCGTGCCTGCTACCATGACAGGTGTGGTTTGTGCTAAAAGCCGTTGCTCTTCTTTCTAAACCTCCACCAAGGAAGGGGATGGGGGAGGTGTGTGGTTTCGTGACTTTTTAAAGGGGTTTTTTCTGGCTGTGCCTCAGAGCAGGGATCCAATCACAATGGCCTCTGGGTACACAAAGCGGAACATCCTGTCTCCCAAGATGACTCAGGCGTCACAGAACTCTCACTGTGGCCAGGGGAGCTGCAATTTAGAGGCAACTGCAGTTCTGTGCCTGCTCCCCAGGTCCCCAAACCTGGGAGCCTTTTCCAGCAGAGCTCTGTCTTCCACACAGCTACAGTCCTCAATGCCAGGGAGCCCGGAGCCGGTCAGTCAGCCAGCCAGTCAACAAACAAGCATGAATGCCAACCATATGCCACCCTCAGCTGAGCCAAGCATACACGCTCTCGGGGCCGCTGTGAAAGAGAAGCAGGCTGGGTGTCCAGAGACCAGGTGCTGCGCCTGGTGCAGCTGTGTCCCGGGGAACCAGTGGGCTGAAGTTCCCCTAACTGTAAAATGGGGAAAAGACGACAGGGGATGGCCCTGTTCGAATGACACTGGAAGTAGGGGATGGTCTCAATGAACTTAGTGCTTCCTGGCTGGCTTCTGAGAACAACAGACTTGGAACCGAGATTCTACTCCAAAGGAACAAAGACATATATGCAGGAGATCCTCGAGCAACGTGCTGCTATAACGCTGATGAAAAACAGATAACTTCAGACAGCGAGATTCAGGGAGCAAGGTGGTATAGCTGACCATTTCTGGGAACCTGTCGACCATATTAAGTAACGACTAACCTCATGGAGCGTCTAGTGGGGGAAATTAACTTTTCAAAATCCTATGGCTTCCCTCTCTGTGCAACACACTATACAGGACACAAGAAATGAGTACCAATGTCCCCAGAGTTCAAGTGGGAAGGTGCAACCCTGAAGGATTTTGCTGTAGAAGGGGAGCATTAAGCTGGGCTTATGGGGTGGGAGGAGGAGAACGACCTTCCAGGCTGAGGGCCCAGCACAGCAAAGGCACAGAGTTCTGAAAATATGAACAGAACTTGATTGACGGCTATGGGCTGAGGTCCTTCGATGACAGCCCGCGTCAGATTCCAGTGAGCAGCAAGGCTGGGCTGCGTGGATGGCTGGGCATGGGCTCTGAGGCTCATTCAGGGGAGCCAGGGTGGCACTGAGTCCTCACGTGGGCTTGACAGCCAGAACCCCCCTAGAAAAACTACCCACGAGGGCTCGCCAGCCTCTCCCGCCTTCTCTTATACATTCCTCTAGCTGCAGAGGAGACCTGTCCCAGCTCTCTGCGGAGGCTACAAGACTGCTGTCTCTTCCTCCAGTTCCTGAGCTGGCCAGGCACCCCCGGGGGGTTTCTCTGCCCACTCAGCGGCTCTCAAGCTGAGGAGCCTTCTGTCTGTGTTCAGCCTTCCCAGGTTGCCCCTGCCAGCCGCAACCACGAAGCCCTCCTCTGCATCTGCATGTGCTCTGACGCCCCTTTCCATCCAGGGTTGTTTGGGGTGCCCCTGGCTCCCTGACCCTGACATTGCCCAGATTTGGAAACTGAGTCACAGAGAGCTGGCCAGCTCTCACAGGTCTTGCAGGCAGGAAAGGAGGCCCAGGAATTAAACCCAGGATACATGGCCTCTGGAACCGAGTCAATCGACGCTTGAAGCCTGTGGGGAGTTTTGGAACAAGATAGAGGTTCTGGGCTGTTCTTGACGTCAGTTCTAAACTAGGCCTCACCCCCGACCAGCAGACAGGACGCAGACCTGCTGCTGTTCTCAAGGGGTTCCCCTAGTTATGCAAAAACGAATCTCACAAGGAAGCACAAGCAACTCCCTACTCCAGATGCCTTCCTCCTTTCTGTCCCCCTCCACCCCCCAAAGTGGGTCCCAGGAGAAAGGAAAGGTACCCTGACAGCTCTGGGCTCCCGTCACACCACCTGAACACTGAGCTGGGTCGGCCAGCTGCCCCTGGCTCCCCTCTGTGCCTTCTGAGGGACAAGAATCCAGCGCTATGAGTTGGGAAAAAAAAAAAAAAACACCCATAACCCACAGTGCCCCGCAGGGCTCTCCTCAGCAGAGCAAGCCAGCTGCAACTTCCTGGCTAGGCTGGTCCAGTCGCTGCTCCGTGCAGTCCCAGGGAGGCTGTGACTGGCCAGAGGGCGGCGGGCCCCCCCCACCCCTCGCTCCCTTACCTCACTCCAGCTCTGCCACCATCCGGCTGGTCTGATCCTGATCAGGGGGCCTGCGTGTGAGGTCTTTGTTCCAAACCTGGGGAGCCCCCTGCCTCCATGGCGCCCTGGCCCGCCTCCAGGCTGCTCTGCCAGCCCTAGTCGCTGCTCACAGACAAGCATCTCTCCCCACCTCTCCCCGCCCCGCTGTGGCTGAAGGCCTAGCCTAGGCAGGAAGCGCCCAGCCTGATTTCCTACAAGTGTTTGTCGGAAGGAGGGGGGTTTGTCTACACGCAGATTGCAAGTGAGCAGGAGCTGCTTAACCCCTTGCAAGCCCCTCTGCAGGTTTGCGAGGCCCAGGAAAGGACTCAGACGCTTCCCTGAGGGGACTGGACCATCTCAGCCAAAACACAGGTTGGGGAGAGCGGACCCCAGCGAAGGTCAGAGGCTCAACCAAGGTCACATTGAGCCTGGAAGGAGGCCGTCAGCAGCCTCGACCCTTTGGGAGCATTCTCTAACCTCTAAAGCATGACCTTAGCCCAGGCTCTGTGCCTCACCAGGCCTCACTGCCCCGCTACAGGGTGGGGGATGAGGGCCCTGGCTAGAAGCCTGCCGGGAGTCCTGTCAGCTCTGATTCTCTGTACTCTGCCACTATGGGACCTAACAGCTGGAGGCTGCCAGGTTCCTTCTGTTCTACCCACTGTGAACTTGCCCCAAGCTGAGTCTGTAGCCAAGATGGGATCCTCTGGGCAGAAGGGAGATGGGAGATTGGCTGACCAGGTGAATGGTCCCTTTTGTTCCCAGAGTTCAATGGCCAAGCTGCCTCTTCTCAACCACCGTCCCCTCCCCCTCCCCCACACACACACCTTGTTCATTCATTTGACAGGCACTTACTGGGTGCCCACTGGGTGCTGGGGTACAGCAGGGTGTACGACAGGCTGAGCACGCTAGTGGAGACAGTCAACAAAGAAGGAGCGTTGTGGACAGATGGAGGAGGGCACGGGAGAGGTGACCCTACCTTCGGCTGCTTTTGGTCATGCTGATGCCCAGGCTCACCCCAAACTAGTAGAAGTAGTCTCTGGGTACCAGCAATGTCTAAAGTATCCCAGGTAACTGGGATGTATGCCCTGGTAAAGAATCCACAGGTCAGAGAGTAATGGGGAGAGCAGAAGGGAGGGTTTGGGGATGATTGGAAAGGTCTCCATGAAAAGGTCTAATTGCGCAAGAATTCAGAAGGAAGAAAAGGGGAAATACAGGCTGGCAACAGACTGTTCTGGCAGGGCTGGTATAAAGGGCAGGGTGGGAAGCAGCAGGCCTTTCCCTAAAAACAAAGATCTGTATGCAAGAGCAGTGAGCCAAGTGGGAGAGGCAGGGGTGGGGCAGAGGGGGTGAGGGGTAGGGTTTGGGGGTACAGTCAGAGGGCAGCACGGGCCCAGTCACCAGGTGTGTGACCCCAATTCTGGGGCCAGAGATTCTGATTCAGAAAACAAAAAGGAAGAAGAAAAATTCAGATCTCCATTGGGTCCGGAAGCCCCTCCAGTGCTTCTGCAGGACAGCCAAGTTTGGGGCCCAAGTTCAAAGGCCAGCACCACCGCTTGCTAGCCTGTGCCCCTGGAGGCTTCATCTTCCCCAACCCCAGTTTCTTCCTTTGCAAGACAGGGACAAGAGCAGCCACTCCTGCTGCTGAGATCCAGTAAGGCTGCCCCTGCAAAGAGCGGCACGGGCTGGCGGGGCTTCCCAGGGTGGCTTGTGAGTATCTGGCAAAGCCAGAGATACTGGCAGGGGCCCTCCTCCCAGTCACACCCCACCCCAACCCCCTTCCCGGGCTTTCACCCAAGGGGCTCTCCCCACAGTCTCTACCTCAGAGCCTCGGGTGGAACCACGCCAAACCCGAATGAGGTCCTATCTCTGCCAGCTCTGGTGACCGTGTGGGCCTTTGTGTGAGAGGCGGGCTCCCCCGACACCCCGTCACTCACTTATCCACCCTCCCTGGGTCATCAAAACCCAGGCAGCACTGCCATCAATGTCAGGTGGCTGCTGATCTCAGGCACGCCCCGTGGCCCCTGGATAACCCCAAGCCTACATTAGCAGCCCCCATTCTAAGAGGCATCCCCATTCTATCCCCTGTGCCCAACGCAGGCCCTGGCACACTAGAAATACAAGAAATATAAGCGGGTACCCTACTGAATCTAGTCAGTTACTCAAGCCTGGCTTGTGGCCCTCACAGCAACAACCCTGTGAGGCTGGTGTGACATCTCTGCTTCATAGCTGGGTAAACTGAGGCCCCGAGAGCCCACACAGCTGCCCGTGGTCACTCAGCAGCACTGGTGAGTGCTGACAAAGATTCAAAGACACAAAGGCCCAGCTCTTTACACCCACACATGCTTGCCGCGCACACCTTTGCGGCCTGCGAGTAATACCTGCGCACAGCCACGGCACGAGCAGGCCTGACTACCGATAGCTGTCGTTCCACCAAGCCAGCTTCTATCTCCGTCCTGAGGCTCTGGCTCCCGAGTCTCGGTTTTCTAAAATGCCTTCTCTTTCATAGACTACATGTTATGAGCAGCCTTGGCAAGTGGTCCCACAGGTGAGGAAATGAGGCCCAGAGGTGGGGAAGGTAACAAAACAGCAAAATAATAATGACAATAAGGATGATAACCATCAGTGAAAATGAACAAGAAACCAGAGAAACAGCGGCCCCACTGCCAGCATGTGAACACCGCCAGGAAGAGGCTGGTGAGGCGGTGTCTGCCTGCCCCCCGAAGTTCTTGTCCCGGAGTCCAGCAAGCTCGGCCACGCTGCCCCCAGGCCCCGGGGTCAGATGCTCTAATACTGCACTGGCTATGTCTCACCCACTCTGTCACTGTCCTCTTTCCCTCCCTTCCTCCCTCTTTCCACGACATTCTTAAGCCCCTAATGGCTCTATATTAACCAGACAGGAAGCCAAGTCTGTTTTGCTTCATCCTCCGGCACAGCCCAGGGCATCACTGGTTGATGTCATGAGCCCTGACAGTCACTCCTTCACATGATGTCCTGAGGCCCAAGGGAGGGTGGGGCCAGGCTCTCAGCCCTCCTCCGGGGAGACCCAGGGCTGACAACTTCAGGATTCCTGGGGGCTGTGGTTGTGTTTTGTCTTCTGTCCCTTCCTGAGCTGGGACATCCCCTCCCCAGGGAAAGAAACGAAGCCCATCCTCTGGTCACCCAGCCCTCCTGCACGAGTTGCTGAGTTTACCCTACAGCTGAAACCCACAGGGGTTGTGGGTGAAGGAGGCAGGAGAGTGCTTCAGAGTAGCCCCTGAAGACTTGGCTTTTCTGACTCCACCTGCCACACAGGCAGCGCTGGGCTGGTGGGTGCTGCTGGGCGCAGTGGCCTGGGGCCATGGGCTTTGAGGACAGTCAGAATCTCTTTGGAAAGCTGCTTTGGACAAGTCCCCTAACCACTCTGAACCCTAGACTCCTTCGGTGTAAAGTGGGTGAGGGGGGAGATTGACTGTACAGGAGTCTTGGGATGATGAATGCAGCTACGTTCCTGAAGTCCTCAGCCCAGCACCAATAGGCACAGAGCACACGAATACCCTGACTTTAAAAAGGCCCATGTGGCCTGCTCTCTGCAGGATTGAGTTTCATTTTCTTGGCTCTGGGGCCCTCCTGACATTGGCCACAGCTCTAGCTTTGAGTCCTTCCCAAGTGGAGAGAAAGGCTGCCATCTCCCCTGAGGCTCCCCTGTGGCCCCCAAGCCCAGCTCAAAAACGTGTCCCCACCCTGAACAGGTAGGGAGGGGTCAAAACAGAACTTTGTCAGCTAACTGAATCATAGCATAAGAGGAGGGTGTGGCTGTCATGAACATGAACACACACACTGAAATTCACATCTTGTGAAGAGTCAAACCTAATGTGCTCATGCTGGGGGTGGACTGGTAACCACACACTTTACCAAGCACCTACTATGTGTCACGGACCCTGGAAAGGCCGTCCATGCATTCGAATGCTGATCTCAATCTCATGCCAAGCCAAGGAGGCACCTCGGGTTTGAACCAAACTGCCTGAATCTAGTCAGAGGAACTGATCACTTTGCAAGTAGGCGAAAGGCTGACACCCTCAGTGTCCAATCCCAGGGACCCCCGAAACAAAGGATGCTATTTGCACTCAAAGGAATTGTATGTAACTATAATCAGTGACCCTGTAGAGAGAATGTGAAGCGGGGGAATTACGATAGGTTGAATAGACAGGCCAGCTTGATACTAAAATGTTATAATAGGCATCTAGCTTGTCTTTAACAAAAGACAAGAACCAGTAAAATAGGATGAAGGGAAGGGGGAGAGGAAGAGCAGGAAGGAGAGACAAGTGCTCCAAATATTTACAGTAACTATCACCAACAGTAGAGTTATTTCCCTTATGTGCACTTTCTAAAAATAACCATTGCTTTAAGAATAAGAGTAAAAAAAAACATTTACTACCTTAAAAAAACACAACACACATACACAAACCAGCCTGCCTCAGCCAAGGGACGAGCGTAGCTCCCTGTCCTGAGGAGCCCTGGGCTGGGCTGTCTCGGCCTCCACACCTGGACAGCCTGGCCAGACGCTGGGCTCTGAGGCCCTGTGTAGCTCGGATACCCTGCCCCACCCCACCCCTCTCTTCTTCCGTTTGGACCCTGATGCCAGGTATTCTTTCCTGCATGTGCACTCATTGTGCGACAGGCAGGGATATGTGACATCGCATAATTAGGCATTTAACAGATAAAGAAAGGCCCAGAGAGGTTGCACAACTTGCCCCAAGTTACACCGCATCCGAGGGACAGAGCTGGTTCTACATCCAGAAGTAAAGCGTTACGCTCCAAGCGATTCACTGATTTAGGGTGACTGGGTGCAGCCGCCTGGACCCAGAGGCCCCCTCTCTGTCTTGCTCCTTGGTGGTGGTTGCAAGACTCAAGGGTGACTGACAGTTGGGTATCCTGCCATGGCCTTGACCCTCCCCTGAAACAGGCTCAGCAGAGGACTGCAGCCAAGGATCTAGGGGCCCGAAGAGGCCACTCGGAGAGCAGGGGTCTCTCTTAGCTGCAGTTTGGCTGACACTTGGCAAGGAAGACCAAAGCCAAGGTGGAACTGCAGGTCCAGATAGAAAAGCAAGCAGGGGATTAAAAACACAGGGCTTAGGCCCTCCCTGGTGGCGCAG